ATTCTCCCTAACATTTAACCAGATCACTGGTTCTATACCATTCACAGTCTTTAGAATCTCTACCTTAGAGTTTATTGATTTTGGGACTTGAAATTGCTGACTTCAGATGCTATATCTTGGCAGTAATAATTTGAAAGGTTACTTTATTTATTCTTTATTCATTGATATTTAGATTTGTCATTTTGAGATTATAATTTTGTGCTATTACTTCTTGATTTTTGGACATTTTGATATTTAGTTCTAATTCTAGAAACTGAAGGTGATCCCTGAAATTAAAATTCTGAATCTCCGCAATATAAGGCTCTTGTCCATAGAAAGAAAGCAATATTGTGGGAAGCATACTGGAAAACTTGTGCAAATGCTCATCACTCTGAAGTGCTATGCAATTTGATAATGGAAGCAGTGGCTGAACAGCCAAACCCCCCCCCCCCCCCTCCTTCCCAAACAAAAAAGGAAAAAATTGGATTTTTCCTGGTTAAAGTTGGATAGGTTTTTTGCCCAAGTTTTGTTGAGAGATTGTGTTTTAGAAAGAAAAAGGTAGAATAAGCTTTTCAATTTAAAACGATCTCACCAAACATGAAAGAAAAATAAATAAGCTTAAATGCCTTTTTTTTCTAGATAAATATAAATTGAGAATGCTACAGCAGGAAATAGATGCTTTTTCAATACGCTTTTAACTTTTTTTTTTTTTTTTTTTGGAATGACACCAAGATTTAGCAGCTTTTTCAAAAGCCATTGTAAATTGCACCATATAATATACGCAATAATGAACAGATTTGAACACCAAAACAACAAAGTGAATACTTATATTGCAACGTGCAACACAACAAATTTTGTTAGTGAAAATTGTGTCTCACAATCAATTGCGTATTTCCAAATTCAAATTACACGAGTCCTCACAACAGACTATTGCAGCACAAATTTGATTCAGAAGACAAGAACTAGTAGACCTCTCTATATAGCTCCAGCATGAATGGTCCAGCGGTAGCACCTCCCACAGGTGACCAATAGGTCCTGAGTTCGAGTCTCTGCTCCGCTGAGTTCTTCCGCACACTTAACGTGCTTAGGTCGGGTTGGGGCGCCGAGCTCAGACCGCAAGGATTGGCCCGGACACCCCTACCTCTCTATATATGCAATAAAGGTAAAATGAAAAGAAAGAAATGTTCAGACAGCGGATAATAGCAGAGACAAGTTGTCTTCGTTTACTTTTTTGATGCCGAAGGCTGAGCTTGATTTTATTGAATAGTAGACTTCGGCCGAATGCCAGACAAGACTCTTCGACCATTAAGCAGCCCACGAGCTCTTTTGCTAGAACGAGAAAATCAAAATCTTTGACAACTGATTTGATTTTCTCTCTGTCGATGTCATTGAAAAACTACTACTTCACGAGTTATTGTAATTTCATCACATGGTTATACCTTATTTATAAGTTATCAAGTCCTTGATTATTAATTCAATGCCAAATTGCCAATGATAATTAATATGGTAAGATTTTTTTTTCTTTGAATCTCAAATGCTAATATGAAGTTATAATTTGTTGTACCGTACATCAGATTCTCTCAAAGAAATAAAGAGAAAAGGCAAAACAATGGAATATTGCTGGAAATTTCTAATAACAATGTTTTAATATTTCCTCTTTTTTGATAAAAATTATAATGAATCTGTACTAATAACAGAAATTACATCATCAAACATACACAGATATCAAAGATATGAAAAACAAAAAAAATTACATTATAAAACTCCAAATTTAAAAAATGAGATAAAATAATTGTAACTCCATGGACATCAGTGCATGCTTCCAATCACCACATTTTCTAATTAACTGCATCAAGTCAAGATATTATAGTAAGATTTACCTAATAGATTCAAGAAATTCCAAATTTGATAATTAAAATCTGAAAAAACTCAGATCTAATAAAAGAAAAGAGAAAAAATTATCAAAAACTTTCACTAAGAAGCCCTATGAGAGAAAAAAAACTCTCACTAAAAAATTTAGGAGAGAAGAAATCTCTCACTAAATAACCCCAAAAAGAGAAGACACTCTTACTATAAGAAAAATTTTATTCACACAAATGAAAAAAACTATAGAGAAGGTTCTTCTCACGAGAAAAGATCAAAAAAATCTAATCTCTTTCTCATGGGAGAGTTGAAAAGAGTTTTAGTTAGAAAGTTTTTTCTAGAGAGAAGGAGGATTTTGATAGAATATTAGATATAGATTTATATTTTAAGATTTCAAACAAATGAGCTAAACTTATTACTTTTATTGGATTGCATTATTTCGTCAATGGCAAAGTTTGGATGAGGATTCCACGTTCCAATTAAAAATTAAATCATGAACACTCAAATCATCTCACGTTTTGGTGTCCAAGCCCTATAAATACTCCCAGGCTTGGTTACCAAATTCAGCAAAACTTTCTGATCAAAAGCCTTCAAAAGAAAACCAAAAAACAAAAAAGAATGCCATTAAGTTCTTCTATGAGGTCCATTGTGGCAACATTTCTTCTGTTTTTCATTGTTCTCTCTCCCATGGTGATGTTACCATCTGAGGCAGCAAGACCATCTCGAGGTAATTAAAGCTTGTTAATTAAGAGTATACACTAACGGTGTGTATATTATCATAATTAAATGTATAATACATATACAAAATTTGAGTTTCGATCTCAAATTTAGATTCGTTATCATATATCATATGGTAACAGTGTATGTGCTATTAGTGTACAACAGATTAATCCATTAATATATATCTTATCAAATTAACTTTATTTGTCATGTTAGTTGATCTTTTCTTTGTCCTGTTTATGCATCCAGGACTTCGTCAAAATTGTCCTGCTTGTGTTTGTTGTGCACCACCTCCACAACCAGGCTTTTGTTGCCGCTGTTTCTGTGGTGCACCTAGTGGTCCTATCCAAGGAGAAATTCAAAGCAATATGCCATGAGGGCACCATGCAGCTTGCTTGCCATGATCTGTTGGCATTGAGTTATATTTGTGAGGAAAGATGTATGGAATTAATTAAGATATCATGCAGAATCAGTAGAGTTTGTTATAACAATAAAGGAGTAATTCTAGTACTCCCACATTTAATTTGAAGATCTTTACTTTGATCGAATGTAATTTGGCTAACTTTTGATGGATGTTCTCGATATTCTTAATTTCATGACGCACTCTCGAAGATCCTACATCCAAAAGTGTGATCAATCGCTTAGTTTTGCTAAATAAACTAATTTTACATCAATTTTCCAGGACCTTCTTAATTAATTAACAAACATTTTGAACCTCTCCACTCCTTATTAATTGGTTTTGAGATGAAAATCTAAGCTTATTAGGTCCAAAGTCATTTAGCAGTAGGGTTTTTTTTCTCCTTCCCCGGTCCCTGTGCTAAACTTTGGGGTCAAAGGTCACGTAAATGATTATGTAGCATGCATCCTCAGCAAGTGCAACACGGTTAAAAAAATTTAAAAAAAAAAAAAAAAGAATGAGAGAGAGAGAGAGAGATCCTTGTTTTGTTGATTCCTGTGTTACTGTTTTAGTTGTACCTTCAAACAGGTACTTCAATGCTAGTAATTAAGATCTTAAAGACACAATTAGACAGGAAGAAAATGAAAAGGAAAAGGAAGAGGAAAACACTAAAATTTTCTAAACTGCTAAGGGTACTTCTGCCCGTCAATGTAAGAGGGTTCACTGAAATTAATTGATTCTCAAAGATATATAGATTGAATGTCGGAATTAGAATTTATTTTCCCTTCTTCATAAACTATGTTTGCTACCCACATCGCTTTTAGTTTATAAAAGCAAGTTCAAGACTCTAGTATTCAAGTTTTGTTTCACTGGATAACTATGTATGACGCCTAAGCAAAAGCTTAAAAAGGAACAATACTTTCGTAAAGAGTTGTTTCATATTACTAGTGACACTGCTATAAATTTGGCCAATAATGTGGAATTTTGACGAGGACAGGTTTCCACTCTGACCCACAAAGCAAAAGCAGACGTAATGAAAATTGAGATAGGAATCTTATACTAATGTTCATTTTCCCTCTGGTAAAGGTAACTTGGTTATGTTCTGCTGAATATCCTTTATCTTCATACACTTGTCATAAACCGTTAGAAGAAAACACTGAAAGTTTTACAGAAGGGTGTGTTTGAAAAACAAAGAAACGAATTTTGTGTGTGTTAATGAAGAGACTTACACTCTAGTTTAACAGAATTGAAGTTTGGGGGCTTTTTACGATTCTTAGAAGAGAAGGCAAAGTTAATCTGCCACTGCAGTTGTAAGATATGCATCCCAGGCTGGTAATATAGGTATAGAGATGGGAAATCAAACTCTGGGCTAGCGTAAGTAAATCTTTTTTAGGCTTATTTTCTAATATGTTCTTTAACTCTGCTTTTCAAGCAATGGGTATGGGATCTCGTGATAAAGGAGCTGCAAAGAGATTGCTGTTTGGAGCTGGAAAAATGCAATAAAGTTGAATGTGGCCTTTACGTACTAAATAATTTGGTTTGCCATTCTTCTGAAGCATAAAACATTTTCAATTAGCACTTACTTTTTTTCCCCCCGTCTTTGAGATTAGATTTCCCACGTCTCTCTGCCTGATTGTAAAACCATTTGCTTCAAAACCTGCTTTCTTTTGACTGGATTATTTGCTCTTGTTTAAGAAGCTACAGGATCTTACTAGAAGGGAGAATGGGACAGTGGAATTGAAACTTTCTTCTAAAATCAGTTAAAAGGACACTCGCAGATTGGCAAATATTTGATTCACTGAGGAGGAGTGTGGATTTCTTCTTGCATGAGTAAAGTTGGAGACTTGGAATCATCCTTTATGTACAAGCAGAATATAGACATCTTGTAAAGTCATTCATTCCTTACCTGTAGACAACATGTAGGGTCTAGCACAACAGATGCAGATATTAATCTGGCTTTGCAACTGCAATTAAAGGATAAGAGCCTCTTCTACATTTCCGGTTCTTACTCTTCTTGAAAAACAAACCTTTCTTAGATTAGATGGCTGACGCTGTTATCCCTCTTGTTATTGAGAGACTTAGCAATCTTCTGATTGAAAAAATTGGTTTTCTGAAAGGTGTTCGACAAAAAGTTGAAAGACTAAAAAATGATCTGGTCCAGATGCAGTGTTTCCCGAAAGATGCGGATCAAAGGCAAGATGAAGATGATGGGATTCGCAACTGGGTTTCTGAAATCAGAGCTGCTGCCTAAGATGCGGAGGATGTCATTGAGATCTTTGCCAGCAAATTTGAGTTCATAGAATATAAGGGGATTCATCAACAAATTGGCACATTGACCCTTGAAAATGGTGAACCTCTACAAGATTGATAAAGAAATCAAATCTTTACAGATGAGGCATGGTTCAAAGTCGCAATCGCGGCCCGGACCGTTCCACATCAGTCTCAGCATATCGGCCATGGTCTCGACAAGACGTGAATTTTTAAAATATCTAATATTCTAAAAATTGTAAAAAATATGATAAAAAATAATTAGAAATAGTAAAAATAATAAAAATTCGAGTTGACTCGAAATGATTTGGAATGATTCGGTGTGACTCGGCTGTTTCGACCTTCACAGTGACGTTTCGTCGAATTAAGTATCCCAAAATCGTATCGTCCCAATGTCGTATCGAGAGGATCCGAAACAGTGACAACTCAACCGAGTCGTCTTGGACTCGGCCGAGTCTTTGAACCATGGGCTCAATGAAACTGATGATAGCCGCAAAAGGTATGGCATCAGAAATCTTGGAGAAGGGATGAATTCGCATGGAGAATAGCTCCAACGGCTTCGACGAACCTCTCTTTTCAACGAGGACAAGGATATAGTGGGTTTCGAGAAGATAACACAATCCCTGGTGGCAGAACTTTTGAAAGAGGACCAAAACCGCAGTGTGGTTTCAATTGTTGGCATGGGAGGTGCTGGTAAGACAACTCTAGCCAAAAAAGTTTATAACCACGCTGATGTCAGGACAAGATTCAACTGCCGTGCTTGGGTCTGCATCTCTTCCAGCTACAATCACAAAGAGACGCTGAGAGCAATCATAAAGCAATTGAATCCGATAACTAATCAGCCACTTGAAATGTTGGAAAGGATGCAAGAGCAAGACTTGGAACAAAAGCTCCATCAAGGTCTACATGATAAGCATTATCTTGTGGCACTTGATGATATATGGAAGGAAGAAGCGTAGGATTGTCTTGCCAGGGCCTTTCCTGACGTTAATACATCAAGTAGATTGCTACTTACAAGTCGTAGTAGGGATGTTGCCAAACACGCAGATGCTCTCAGCCACCCACATGAGTTGGAAACTTTGGGGCAGTTGTTTCTCAGAAAGGCCTTAGGCCATGGAGCTAATGTTGGGTGTCCTCTGGACTTCGAAGAAGTAGGCCAAAAGATTGCAAGGAGATGTGCCGGTCCGCCACTGGCAATAACAGTTATAGGTGCCCTGCTCCTGGGCAAGAAGAAGTTGGAGAGTGAATGGGAGAAAGTTCTCAACAACATTAATACATACCTATCAAGGAGCAAGAGTGGAGTATCAGCAATTCTGGAATTGAGTTATGCAGATCTTCCTCTCAATCTAAAATGTTGCTTTTTGTATTTGAGCTTATTTCCGGAAGACTGTGATTTCCGTCATCAAGTTGATCCATATATGCATTGCAGAGGGAGTAATGCAGAAAAGAGATGCAGAAAATTTAGAGGAAACTGCAGCATATTATGTGGAACAACTTTTTAGCAGAAATATGGTTCAGGTTGCAGAGACAGCTGTTGATGAGAGGATTAAAAGAAATATGGTTCGGGTTGCAGAGACAGCTGTTGATGAGAGGATTAAAAGCTGTAGAGTCCATGATTTATTGCGAGAACTTGCAATCAGCAAGGCAAAGGAAGAAAATTTTTTTCAGATCCATGAGATCAGGGATGGTGAAATATTAGCAGAATCCAGGTACCTTGCTATTCATATCCCCCCCATAGGATGAAAAATATTTCGGCTCTTCAACCCCTCGTCTCTGGTCTCTACTTTTTTTTAATGCTCACGCTTACTGGGGAAAGGTTAGTCTTAGCTTTGAAAGTTTCGGAAAGCTTAGTATACTAGACCTTGAGAATGTTAGGATTAATTCCGTGCCAGAAGAAATTGGTGAAGTCAGGTTTCTGAGGTACCTCTGTTTAAGAAGCACATCAATTGAAAATCTCCCTCATTCCTTACGTTGCCTACGAAACCTACAAACCCTTGACACACACGTGTATTGGTTTGAAAAATTGGAAGTTCCAAATTTCATTTGGAAGCTTGACAGTTTACGGCATCTATATGCGTATAAGATGACATGTAATGAGTCTCTTAAAATTGAAGGATTGAGGAATCTCCTAACTCTGTCAGGCATACACTTCGATCACATTATGCATAACAACATGACAACTTTGACAAGTCTTCGGAAATTGGGGATTGTAGTAGATTACAGGTCAGACAGAGATAAACTCTGCCTGCATTTATCTAAGGTTGGAAGCCTAAGGACCTTACATCTTCAGACTCAGTGGGGAGGGCCACAATCTCTAGCTGGACTTAATTTCTAAGCTCCATCATGTAACAGAGCTTAAGCTATCCAAAAGGATGATAATGCTCCCTCCCAATTTCCCTCCAAATCTCTCTCGCTTGTCTTAGAAAGAAACATCTCTTTTTGATGATCCAATGCCAATACTAGAGAAGTTGGGACGGTTGTCGTGCCTCAAAATGAAATCTGCATATCCGAGACAAACACTAACCATTTCTAGGCATGGCTTTCACCAATTGAAATTCCTTGTGCTCAGAGACCAAGAAGACTTGCGTGACATGCAGGTGGAGAAAGCTGCACTGCCACAGCTCCAGTGCCTGAGAATCAGGAACTGCCGCTCATTACGCGTGTTGCCGGAAGAGCTGAAGCACGTATCTACTCTTGATAAGCTTGAGCTTGTGGACATGTCAAAAGATTTTGTCAGTAGGCGTGATGCGGGGGTGGTATCCAATGTCCCTAAGCTCAAAATATTTTGACTCTTGATTGCATGCACCTAGTTTTCTATCTTCGATCCTGGTTTGGTTTTGGTTGCATTGGCTGTGAGGTGGCAAAATGGGCAGGATAGGTGGGATTTGCTTGAGTTCGAAATGGAACCGAATCATATGGGTTTGGGTCTAACCTTACTCATATGTGTTTTGAGACTAATTTGGACGGGATCACTTTGGGATGGGTTTAGATTGATCCCGCTCAATACCCAAATCTATTTTTTATATTTTTTTCCTTTAATTCTTTTTATTTTTTATATAACTTTAATATTTTTATTTATTAAATTTCTTTTGATTTTATTGTGAATTTATATTTTTTTGAATTCATTTACACTCTAGAACGATCAACATTTACTTTTAAAAGACGTAATATTTTGGTAAGAATGAACATATCTTCTCCCTGGATTATACCAAAAATTGGATTAGCAAATAAAGGAAAAGATAAATATACAGCCACATTCCAACCTTACCCATAATGTTGTGTGACACAAGGACTAGAAACAAGATTTTTTAACACCAAATTCATTCTTACTGACATTCTTAAAATTTCCAAAATTTGATACAAAAGAAATTCACATTAAATGCTGAATAAAGCTAGCACAGAAACGAAGAAACTGATTAAAAATTGATAACAGGGTTGCATATAGAAATCTATGTAGATAGTTCAACAATTAGCATAAAATCAACGTAAAGGGTGTCAACAGTTGTTAGTAAAGCATTGATTCTTGTAGACACCAAAATTTTACCAATTCATTTTATTTTTATTGTTATCTTTATTTTTTTAAAGTTGTTTAAATGAAATCATTTTTACTTAACTGGTTTTCTTTTGTAGGAAAGTGAAGAAAGGAAAAGAAAGAAAATGGAAGTGAAAAAAAATCAGATTTTTGCAAAAAAAAAAAATCAAAGATGAATTTTTGGATAAATGAAAATTTTTTGCGAGATATTTGGGCCCAATGGATACCCAAGTATTTTACAACAATTCCCGTCAAATAATGGGTACAATTGGAATGCATCTCATTTTAAATCCAATATCAAATTACAATACCCATCCCGCTCAAAGTCCTTTTGGGTATGAGTAGCCCATTGGGACTTGAGACAAAATGTCACCTCTATATGCAATAAATAGTCCAAGATTGTTCACTGTTTGCAAGTTCGACAATCCCTTTTAACTCTTCTTGATTACTGGTTTTTCGATTCAATAACATGTTATGCATTGCCTCGAAGGAAATGTTCATAGTTCACGAAAAAAGGAAGCATAATTTTGCGTATAAAAATTTTTATTTTATTTTATTTTAATTGTTGGACTCAAAAGAACATCATAAAACAAGGGCTAATTACAAAAACTGCCCTTAGAGGTTGGTCAAAGTTGCAGTTTAACCCCAAAAATTACCTCCTATTTCACTCCAACTCGTCGAATTAACCAGTAAAATAGTTGTGTTGAAAAAAATGCTCTTCTGCATGGTTTATGCATAAAAACCCCAAGATTCCTTAGAAGTTCAAATTACAAGATATTATTTTTACTATAGAATAATTTTTTGAACTTTTTGGATAAAATAATTTGAAATACTAATTTTTCTCCCCAAAATTATCATGCATGCTATTAATTTAACTGGGAAAACACTAAATTTTGTAAAAAAAAAATATAAAGGAAGAAAAATATATGTTGTATGTTCATTAAAATGCCTAATCAAATCTTCTTTCTACCTATAATCACATGACTTGATAAATTATTGGATTAATCTTCTATACACTAATAGTGTATACACTGTCAGTTTTGAATGAATGATGATTATGTAAATTTTAAATTTAATTTTTGCATATATGTCATGAATCCAATAGTGATGATGTATACACTGTCAGTATGTATATAATTAACTCTTATGGATTAATTTTCTATATACAAATAGTGTAGACACCGTTAATTTTAAATGAATAACAATTATGCAAAATTTAAATTTAAAATTCAACTTTTGCATATGTGTCTTAAATCCAACAGTGATAGTGTATAAACTGACAATATATATATAAGATTAACTCTTTTTTTTATAAGTAGGATGTTTTGAACCGAGAATCTCCTACTTATAATCTCTTCCACCTTACCACCCCTCCCCCCTTATATAAGATTAACTTTTGTAGATTAATCTTCTATGTACACTGTTAGTATATGTGTTACTCTAGCCAAGGCCAATGATAAAATTAAAACCTTCAAACTTTAAAAAAATTGCATTATTACAAATTACACTTTAGCATGTGATACAAAACTCTCAATATATCTTAACTTTCATATTCTAAAACTGACCCTTAATTTCCCTCACCTAAGGAAAACAAATGAAAAAGAATAACATGAGCTTATCCTCAGTGAAGTTTTAGGTTTTAAAACATTTGAACCTCCAAAAATTGCTTGTAAAAGCACTTCTCAATAATATATACCAAGGGAACAAGAATTTCACAATACATTCAATTGATACACGTTGAGTTTCAACAAACAACAAAATTACACAAAAGAGTCATACAATTTAACATATGAGAAGTACTGATACAGGTTCTATAAGTGGCTCCCACTTTTCACACATATTACTTAGCCCCGCTCAGTATTTAACTTCCAATGAAAAACATGAACTGATACCGGCTCTAGAGGTGGTTCTTGTCCATTTTCAAATATAGCACTTAGTCCCGCACAGTATTCAACTCCACAAGCAATTCCAACTCCAAAAAATATATCAATCTCCAACTCTAACCATGACAAGAGGAAGTTATCTCGAGATACCCAAATAACACTCTGCACACCCATAAGCCCCCAAGCATCCTGACTAACAAGTGGGTAGCGAAACCATGGTAAGCCTAATTCTGGCACACAGCAGGCCCAGTTCTCCCCGATGTGGTAAAGTACATAACCGAATTTACAAGTATGCACTTGTAACTTCAGGTATGATTCAACTTTCCAATGATATTTAGATAGAGTATTATTTGAAATATTATTTGTAATAATTATTACTGTAGCACTTTTTGTGATGTGATGTATGTAAGATAAAGCTGTAGTTAGAAATATAATAAAGTGGATTGAAAAATGTGTTTATGATACAAGTGAAATATTATGTTAAATAATTCAGCAATCCAAACACATAAGTACTATATTATGATAAGAAGAAGTTCAATCACATCAATGTTTTGAATAACATCCCCCCATGTGATAAAGTACACTATGGGTTTCATCAGCATTCACAGATAAAATTTACAAGTAAATTGAGAAAATAAATAGGTTAAAGGAGGAGACACATGTAGACTCTCCACGGACTTTCTTTTACCAAGAATGAATTGTGCTAAATGTCACTTAATATCAAATGAAGGTAAATTAATCAAATATTTTACCAAGGCTAAAATCACAATTCAGCATATTAAGAGATTACCCCAGTTATTGGAGATAACATTATGGCTAAGGATCTTACTTTAAAACCATGCATGAACTTCCAAAGTACACATTTATGGATAGTATCAAGATTGGGAACGCTTCTGCTGGCAGCTATTAATTTACACAGAGAGAAATTAAGGGTTCAAAAAGTGGACAAGTCTTGCCAAGGGGTAAAACTCACCAAACATAACATGGCACTAGAGGCATCTTGGCCGTGCTCGGTGCCCCTTAGAAGTTTAGTTAAACATAGAGCAATAAATCTTTTTGTTAAATATAGGAGAAAATTTGAGCATCAAAACAATTAAAATTTGCTATGAAGAGAAATTCCGTTTATGAAGTTAGTCCCGTATTTATCGTGATTTGGACAAAGATTTTTGAACCAATACCATGTGTGCATAATAATACCAAAAAAAGGAGAGATAATAAGTACACTACATTGTCAATTTAATAGCAGCATAACTTTAATTGTGACTAAACCAAAAGTAGTCATAATAATTCTAGCAGTTTAATAATTAGAAAAAGTTTAGAAAGTTACCAAAATCTGTCACAATTTTCAACATCAATAAAACATACAAACTTACACATTTTTCTATCCTTTTCAAAACATACAAACCTACACATTGGTTTTTTTGTCTTTTTTAGAGAAAAAGCGAGTTGTTAATCCATCCATTTAAATCCTTTTTAATAGCATTACAAACAGGTGATAACATTATCTGCCAAATAGTTCGAGAATACAAATAGCAATATTAGATAAAAATATGAATTGCCATGTTTGCAAATGTACATGTACAAATTCGAAACCAACCATTTGTTTGATCGCAAAAATATCTTCTTAATCAAGTTTGAATTTTTTAACAATTTTTTTGTCAAATCACTCTCTAGGCTAAAAGTCTCAATTTTGACTTCCACCACCAATTGCAATTCCTTAACAACAATAATCAATTCAGCTACTTGAGTTTATAAAAATTTATCAACTCCTTTAGCCAAATAGTCATGATATATCCAGTTCCATATCTAGCTTATATAAAAATACAAATTCATAGAACCAACTTAAGCAAATGATTTTAAAGTCTAGTTTTACACTTCTTTTCTTCTCAAACTATCATACCATGAAAATAAACCACCTATCATGGATACAATTCAATAACCTAAAATGAAGAGATTATACGAAATATTTTATTCATATCATAAATTGCTAGCCCCAACAATTCCTTTACATATCATCTTTCTCGTCTAATAAATAACCATTTTTCACTATTAAGAAACTTTAAATAAATCAAAATATGGAAATATAATTATCTATCTATAAATTAAGAGATTTTGATTAATTTCTCTATTTCTTTCCCAGTCATCATTCATCTTGGATCTTCACTTGTCAAATTCTTCCTCCTCCATCCCAGCACAATCAGCCTATTTTCAAATAACAATTTTAATAAATGAATACTAAAATTGGAATGAAAATAAGTTGAGGAAAAATTGTTATCTTCCCTCAACAAAAATTGCTATCTTCTCTCATCCACTCCAACAACAAAAACCATTCTTTTAGTTAATTATAGAAAAATTGAAAAAAAAATGCATCAAC